GTTTGCGTCGCCTCTTCTTTTTAGAACTTGAACTCGTTAATTTTTTTACAGAGTATTTAAGTGCATAATATTTTTGCTCACTGCTTGTTACCCTAATCTTCCCTGATGCTTCCATGCTTTTAAAGTCCTTTTAGTCTTTTTATAATGATTTATTGTTTGTTTTAGCATGATTTTGTATGCTTCGCTTATTATCCATTCGCTTCTCATCTATGGACTAATGCTCATACCTGATGTTTTAAGTGTTTTTTTACATTATTTTCAATTGGATCGTCATCTTTTTGAGTTGCTCATTGTTTATTAACTTATTTTGATAATTAAATCATTTGATTTACGGTGTGTATTTACATCTTTTTGGCCAATAACTGTCGTACTTTATTCTACTTAGAGTGAGGATAGTCCAGCGTCTAACATGGCTGCTGCTACACTCGGTCCTGTTGCTTCACAAAATGGTCCTTCCTCCAACACTACTACATCTTCCATCACAGCTGTAATTCGCTCCAATGCTCCTAGCTCAGGAATACAAATATTACATCAACAAAATGGCACAGCGCAGCAACTACCTATAAACGCAATGCCATCCGGTCACCACAATCATCAACATAGTTCTAGATCTGCTGTTCCTGGAGGTGGTGGAAGTCGTTCTAGTACCAATCGAAGTGGCTGGCGAAGGTCGGAGGATCAGCAGCATCAACAAATGCAGATAGGGAAGTATCGCTTGATCAGGACCATTGGAAAGGGTAACTTCGCCAAAGTTAAACTGGCGTGCCATGTGATAACCGGAAAGGAAGTTGCCATTAAGATTATTGACAAAGCGCAGCTAAATCCATCCGGCAGGCAAAAGGTGTGCTTCGTTTATGACTATTTCGACCAGTTGTTTGTCCCACTTCTTATTGTGATTATTTTCCAATTTTTTTAGTTTATCAAATTTAATTATTGCGTTTCTTTGTAAACTGCTTTACTCGTATAAATCAATATTTCTTCTGATTCATCGGCCTATTTGCACAATTTTGATACATTCAACTAGCTACCTATTTTAATTACTAAATTAACACTTAAAAAGTCATTAAAAATAATTTAAATTTATGTTTAGTCCAAATAGCAGGACTTTTAAACCTGTTTTTACATAATTTCAATCTCAAGATTTTTGTTATATAATTTTTGTTAATTATCCCAATATGAAACTTTAAATATTCCTTCTTGTTATGCTTAAGATTCGAAATTAAAAAATCCTAG